GGTCGGAGCCTCGTCGCAACATCAGGCTGCACACATCAGTCCGACTGTCTCAGCAGCATGCTTTACATGTCAGCCCGAGTAAGACTGGAGGCCTGTCTCAGCAGGTTGCACACGCCAGCGCGAGATGGGGTGCAAGGACAGAACCCGGAAGAAGTCCGAGAGGGAGTTGAGGCCCCTAAGGTTCCCAGTAGGACTGCCCGGTCTCATGCGACGCGGTTCTACGGAGACTCGGGCGCGCGCGCGCTCGGACAGCTGGCGGAAGGTAGGCAAACTTCGCCGGTGAAAGGTCCGGTTGAAAAAGTGCCAACGTGGGCGGCAGGCATAGGCACGGCTCCGCCCGTGTAGACGCGGCTCAGCCGGTGTAAACCTTTTTGTCGCCCTGATCGGGCCCCTGGGGTGCAACAAATGTCGGGAAAACTGGGCGAACCCCGACGACGACGATGATGACGACGACGACGAAATCTACGACGACGACGACGACGACGACGACGACGACGACGACGGCGACGGCGACGACGACGACGACGACGACTACGACGACGGCGACGGCGACGGCAACGACAACGACGACTACGACGACGACGACGACGACGACGACGACGACGACGACGACGACGACGACGACGGCAACGGCGGCGGCGGCGGCGGCGGCGCGACGACGGAAACGACGGCGCGGCGGGCCAGCGCGACGGCCGGCCGCCGGCGCGAGGGGCCCCGGCGCCGCCGGGCATGCGGCGCAGCAGGCGCCCGCGGGCGGCGCGCCGCCCGCGGGGGGCGGGCCGGCCCGCGGGGCGCCCGCCCGCGGGCCCGCCCGCGGAGCCGAGGTCGCCACGGGTCGCGCCTCTGCGGGCCCGCGCGCCTGCGGGGCGCGCCTGCGGAGCACTTCGAGGGGCCTCGCGGAGGGGCTCCGAGAGGCCCCAGAGACGACGCGAGAGACCTCCTGACCCAGGGTATGATTGCCACGATCGTCTCGAACAGTCGCGCCTGGTGGGGGTCGGCGTCGTGACGTAGGCCACTCGAATATGCGGGGGAGGAGAACAGAGGCCTCCTGGGTGGGCTCCGAGTGGATGGGGTCGAAGGATCGCGCCGCATCGCCAATGCAACGCCGATGCATCGCCGATGCGTCGGCGATGCGCTGGCGACGTCGGCGATGCATCGGCGACGTCGGCGTGGGGAAACACGGGCTCCGCATCGAGCCGCATCGCCGATGCATCGGCGATGCGGCACGATCCTCCGACCCCATCTACCCCGACCCCATCCAGGAGGCTCAGAATACTGGGATCGCCGCGGGTTGGAGCCGTCTGGGGGTCACAGCTGGCCCAGCACTGTCCCAGCCAGCAGGAAGGGCAGGCAGGTTCTAGGTTCTGGGCTCGGGAAAGTCTTCTGCCTTTTTCGGTCTCTGAGGGCAATTTTCGGGCGCGCGGACCGTGAAAAACCGACCCAGGGTGAGAAACTGCACCACATGGACTCCGGGAGGGGTCCGCGGGCCGACTTGGAACGGGTTTGGCCTCATCCCCCCTCCTGATCGATAACCCCCCCCGCCGCCTGCAAGCCGCGGGTGTGGCTAAGTGGGTAGGGGGGTGTGAGCGGATGCCGAGGTGGATCATCTCTGGCCAAACCTGGCCCATGACTCGGCTACAAGTGCGCTGAACGGCTTACAGTGGAGACCCATGCCAAAAAACACCCTGCTTCCTCCAGGGTTCCCTGGGTTTCTTGGGTTTCGATGGTTTTGCTATGGACAGCGGGATGTTCCCACACCAAGAATCGATGGACGCCCTGGGGTCTCAGGGTTGAGGTTCTTGTGAAGGTTTCTTGTGGTCGAGCCCCTACTGTAGGGGGGGTGTCAAAATCGGGGCCAGGTGGGCTCGGTCCACTGAGCGGAGTTATTCAACCCCACTAGGCCACTGAGGGCGCTTGTAACCTACTTCTAATGGCAGGCTGGGCCATATACATATATAAATATATACACATACATACATACATACATACATACATACATACATACATACATACATATACATACATATACATATACATATATATGTATATATATATGTATATACATATATGTATATATGTATATATATATATATACATATATATGTGTGTATAACCCACCTGGGCATCGGCTTAGAAACCCACCATCCACCTAGAGATTCCCTCAGCGATCCCAGCATGCACATCCATGCCCGTCCTCGCTGCAGGGCTCGCTGCCGGCGTCCCTTCGGGCGTCGTCCCCACGAGCGACGAACGCATCCACGCCCGTGCCCTCTGTAGATGGCAAAAAATCCACCCCCATAATAACCACCCCGACAAGCGAGGCCGTTTAGTAAACGCACTCAAAAGGAATCGAACAGGGCATGGCTGTTTAGTAAACGCCCAGGGTCGTTCAGGATACTCTAGATTTCGTAATAAAGCGAGGGGGGTCTCATTTCGGGGGGAGGGGTCTCTTCCAGGCTATCTTGGAGGGCCTGGGGGGTCTGGGGACGATGTTTTGGAGGGTTCTCCCACGGGGGAGGTCTGAAATGGCTTGTCTTGGAGGGTCCAGACCCCCTCCCTGTTGTTACGAAATCTGGAGCACGCCAATGGTCGGGTCCGGGTGGTCTTTCCTCCCCTGACTCTCGGCCCAGAGTCTCCTCCTCCTCCTCCTCCTCCTCCTCGCTCCTCCTCCTCCTCCTCCTCGCTCCTCCTCCTCCTCCTTCTCCTCCTCCTCCTCCTCCTCCTCCTCCTCGCTACCGAGGCGCGAGCCCACGGATGCGCGATCCCACGAAGGTGATCCGCGCGGGGCACCCGCGCAAAAAAGCGGACCCGCACACCCGCGGGGCCGGCCGCGGCCACCTGCCCAGAGGAGCAGGCCTTGCGCAGCAGCCTCCTCCTCCTCCTCCTCCTCCTCCTCCTCCTCCTCCTCCTCCTCCTCCCCCTCCTCCTCCTCCTCCTCCGAAGGGGGGGGAGAGGCTGTTTCCAGTCAAGCGGCAGGTCGCGCTCCCTCAGACCTCTGGGGATCCGCGCCGCGGGAAAAGACGGCCCAGAATACGCCCCAGGGCCCTTCCAGCGCCCGCGACTGCGTGAGGGCGAGGCGAGCGCTCGAGGGGTGAGGAGGAGGGAGGATGGGGTTGGAGAAGGAGGAGGAGGAGGAGGAACGGGGCGCGACCGGATCCGAGCCCGCGGCGGCTGGCAGCAGCCCTGGCCGGAGTTGGGGGCTGCTGGCTGCACGCTCGCGAGAAGGACTGGTGCCCGCGGCAGGCCCGCCTGGCGACTCCAGCACCGTGGACGGGAACTTGTGGCGGCCGTACTTCGTCACGCGCGAGAAGCTCTTGAACATGTTGTACCTAGGCAGGCGGACGTTCCCCCCTCCCCGACCTCCTATGCCTCGAGAAGGGGATAGACTACAGAATTGATTGACCCAAAATTTGAATTTTCCCCATCAAATCTACGACGAATGCGCAGAATGTTCGTGAATAAACTGGGAGTTCAAATTGTTGTCCGTAGATTCGACGAGAAAAATAAAACTGGGGTAAATCAATTCTGCAGTCGATCCCCTACTCGAATGTTCTGCTCGACAGCGAGATGGGCAGCTTTCGCGAGGCAATACTGGGCGAAACGCGGGGGGGGGGGCAGGCAGGAGAGGGAGTCCCCGCGCGTTTGCGGAGAGTTTTCGGGGAGGCGAGGGCAAGCTGCCTCGTAGACGGCCTCCTCCTCCTCCTTCTCCTCCTCCTCCTCCTCCTTCTCCTCCTCCTCCTCCTCCCCCTCCTCCTCCTCTTCTTCTCGTTCCTTCCTCCTCCCTCTATCCCCGCCCTTCAAGTGTCCTCCTCCTCCTCCTCCTCCTCCTCCTCCTCCTCCTCCTCCTCCTCCTCCTCCTCCTCCTCCTCCTCCTCCTCCTCCTCCTCCTTCTACCCCCCCATCCCACTCCTCCCCCTCCTTCCCCTCCGCCTCCGCCTCCTCCTCCTCCTCCTCCTGCTCTCCGCCTCCTCCTCCTCCTCCCCTCCTCCTCTCCTCCCCCTCCTCCTCCTCGTCCTCCTCCTCCTCCTCCTGTTCCAATTACCCTGGCGATCGTTACCAATAACATACTGAGGTGCCCTCCTCCCCTTCCCCTCGTATCCCGTCGCCTCCTCCTCCCCCTCCTCCTCCTCCTCCTGCCCTCCTCCTCCTCCTCCTCCTCCTCCTCCTCCTCCTCCTCCTCCTCCTCCTCCTCCTCCTCCTCCTCCTCCTCCTCCTCCTCCTCTCCTCCTCCTCCTCCTCCTCCTCCTCCTCCTCCTCCTCCTCCTCCTCCCCCTCCCCCTCCCCCTCCCCCTCCCCTCCCCTCCCCCTCCCCCTCCCCCTCCTCCTCCTCTCCTCCTCCTCCTCCTCCTCCTCCGCCCTCCTCCTCGTCCTCCTCCCCTCCTCCTCCTCCTCCTCCTCCTCCTCCTCCTCCTCCTCCTCCTCCTCCTCCCATCATCAGCAGCAGCATCATGCCCCTCAACCTCCTCATCCTCCTCATCGTCACCATCAGCAACAACACGTTGTGCAATCGAATTGCTGTTCGTATTAGTGCTCGAGGTTCGTGTTCGTCTTAGTATTGGCTTTACTGTGATTGGCCCTTCGTGCTAATATGAGCATTACTCTTCGTCGGTCAGTACTGTTTTTACACAACCATTATTAGAAGTAGTACGGTGACGATTCAAGTATGATCAGCATTCATACTACTATTAGTCGTTCTACGTGGGTTTCCACTCCCTCCACCTCTCTTCAACCACTCCCTAGCTTCTCTCCCACCTTGCTCCTCCTCCTCCTCCTCCTCCTCCTCCTCCTCCTCCTCCTCCTCCTTTATCCATTTCCATAACGAATATGAATGTTTCCTGCATGTCTTACCCCCTAATGAATATATCCTGCATGCCTCACCCCTGGAAATGTCGGTAAGGCGGTCAGGGAGTTTCGCTCAAGACTTCCTCGCCGTTCATGATTATGAAGCTTGAAAGTCCAGACAGTTTCGCGGATGGCGGCGGGTCCTTTTTCAAAACGTG